CAGGCCATAGTTTGCTGACCATGATTTAAATAATTATGACTGTAGGAAGCTATGTTAATGAGATAAATGGTATCTATTAAAAACTTTCAGAAAATGTCATATTTAACCATAAATTATTGAAATCTTTCCCCTTGGAGAAAATAAAACAAAGATGCTCACTGTCATTCTTTCTATGTATCCTTTACAGGAGGCTTACACATACACATGTACTTTCCAATTACATATGTGTCTAGTAGCTACACAACACCTATGGTGATATCTATTTAAATTTAAACTAATTTAAAACAGAGTAAATATAAAGAATAAAATTATTACCAGTTAAACCTAAGTTGGAGAATGTAGCTTTGTATAAGAGCCGAATGATCCTGCTAACTGAATTCCAGATTTAGACAGTTGTACTCAGCCTCGCTCATGCAGAGTTGCATCAGAACCTCTGCACACTTCAAAACACAGAGAAGATTAAGAGGAAGCTGTCTTTGCAGGCAGGTATGCACCTAAGAAGCACAGAGCTGAGCTAAGTACACCCATTATTTTAATATACCTACCAAAAAAGAAGTCATTATATCTCTAACTTAGTCCATTTGGGCTGCTATAACAAAACGTCACAGACTGGGTGGCTTATAAACAACAGAAATTTGTTTCCCATAGGTCTAGAGGTTAGAAGCCAAAGATCAGGGTGTCTGTATGGTCAAGTTCTGGTGTAGGTCCTGTTTTGGGTTCCAGACTGCCAACTTCTCACTGTGTTCTCACTTGGTGGAAGGGACTAGGGAGCTCTCTCAGTTATCTTTTATAAGGACAGTAATCCCATTCATGAGGGATCTCCTCTAACGATCTAATCACCTCCCAAAGGCCGTACCTCCTAAGACCATCGTCTTGGGGGTTAGGATTTCAACATATGAATTTTGGAGGAAAGCAAACATTCAGACCATAGCAATTTCCCTAATATTGAATGAGCTAAAATAATGGAGGATGTCCAAACCTGTACTACTTAACTTCACTTTACAGGAAGGAAACACCAGCAAAGGAAAAGAGTAGCACTCATTAACAAAATGGTCCTTAGATACCTATTCTGGACCTAGAGAATACCTTTAGTGGATGATTTCAGTGGTCCACCACATCTTGGCGCTTAACATTTCCATGCAATGTAGTTTGACTTTGACCTGCCAGTACCTATTTTCCTGAAGACTTTTTCTGACTATTGTTCAAGGTAAACTAAACACATGGGGAAATTAACTCCACTTAGGATAGCCCTCCACCAAGGAATGCCAGTAGGGGGTAGATAAAGACCCCCAACTCCCTTGTTTCTCAGGCATGTTAACTATGAGATATGGTCTACATGGTCTCGCAGAGTTCCCAGAATGGTCAATCTCCAGTTGTCCACAGTTATAAATGCTAGATAACTCTACATTTATTTGTTTCCATCTCTTACTTGTCTCATTTTCCAATCCTATGACAATATGTTCTGGGATTACCACCCAAATAAACTACTTTCATTCAAATTCTTTTCTCTTGTCATAAAGGGAATTCACACCAAGACAATGTTTCCCTGTCTTTATCACAACCTCCGATAGTTCCAGTTTTCTTAATTGATTGGTTGGTTTCTCCCTCCATACTAATCAGTTGACCTCATTTGTATTTCCAGTCCCTTTTTATTAGCATCAATCTCCTTCTAAATTTCTCTTTTTATCTACGTTAGATTGTATGATCTGTCATTTCAACTACTCTTGCCAATATGCTAAACTTCTTGCTCCCATTTCCATTGCTCTCTTGATCCAGCAAAACGTCAACATTGGATCATTCTAGCTAATCTCCTTCACAATATCTGATAATACACAGGCTGCTGATCCTTGCCCATGATTAGGAGAATCAGTGACATTAAATTTGACACTTTAAATAGACCCAAGGGCACTGTTCAGCACGCAAATATTTCCATAGTAAGCCCACTCTCCAAATATTTCCCAGGTTTAGTTCAACCATCTCTACTCTCCTCAATACACCGACACCACCCCAAAACACAAACACACATGATCTCTGACTCTCACAGTATGACCAGTTCCTACGTATTCTTGCACAAAAAGAGTTCTCTTTGTATAAATATATCTTTCTACTCAGTTTACCAACTTCAGCCTGATCTTCCTTCCTGAACACCTTGCAAGTTTCTCAGATTGACTAGACACTCTCTTTCACCATCTTTACACTTTCCCCTCTCATTGGCATTTAAATATGTCCATGTGTATCTCATACACTTACATATAAAACAAAATACTTAGAATAAATCAAAGAAACAAACATTATTTTACTTCAAGCTCTGTTAGGTCCTCTACTCTCTTTCTTACCATAACAGCCAAAATTTACACTGAATTCCCTACATTTGCACTGTTTATTTCCTTATTCTAGCTTAATCCTCACCACGTCTATTTGTGTTTTTTGGGTTTTCTTTTGATGAGGAAGATTAGCCCTGAGCTAACATCTGTTCCCAATCCTCCTCTTTTTGCTGAGGAAAATTGGCCCTGGGCTAACATCTGTGCCCATCTTCCGCTACTTTATATGGGACACTGCCACAGCATGGCTCTACAAGCAGTGCGTAGATCTGTGCCTGAGATCTGAACCCAAGATACCCTGGGCCATGGAAGTGGAGCGCATGAACTCAACCACTACACCACCAGGCCAGCCCTATTCACTATTTAAACCCATAAGCCCCAAAGATTTTTCTAAAATCAGCAGTCCTCTCCATGTTATTGAATTTAATAGGCATTTGTCTGTCTTTATCCTAATTGAGCTGACAATACCATTTGATTTTGTTGACTGCCTTCTCTTGTCCAGAAAGTAGCTATAATAATATAAAACATAACTGGTTGCTTTCTATCTTTAATATCCCTCTTACATTTGTTTATAGGATTATTTTCCTTTTAGTTCTTCAGGGATGAATTCAAGTATCGTTTTGCCTCTCACTCTACATCTCAACTATTCCCAAAGCTTCAATTATTCCCTATACATAAAAATATTACGTATCCAGTACAATCCCTTCTCCTGAGATCTAATCCATGTATTTAGCTGCATATCTGTATCTGTAGCTCCATTTGAATTTTTTGCAATACCTCAAACCATTTTCTGCTCCTTTTTCAGCATCCCTAAGAGAATAAATGTCACCACCTTCCTCTATCCAGTCAAGAAATTGAAATTATCCTAACTCTTCCTTTCCCAGTACACTTTCCCAAATCTTCTAATCAGTCAGAAATCTGTTACTGTAACCCTTGAGCATCTCTTATCTATTTCTCTCCATTGTAACTGTCCACCATCTCTCTTCCTTGAAGTTTATTAACAGTCTCTTAACCTTTTAACCTGCTATTCCTCTTACCCTGCTCCAATCTATTTACTACTTTGCATCCAAGTGATATTTAAAAACTGAAATCCTGACAAGTTCCCCATTTGCTAAAAACTCTCCAATAGCCTGTAATTCTCTTAAAGAAAAGTTTAAAAAATCTTAACATTTTAAAAGCCCTATTCATTTATTTTCTCCTAACCTCACGGACATTAAAAGGATAATCAAGGAATATTATAAGTGACCCTATACCCACACTTTTGATATCCTAGATGAAATGGAGTAATTCTTAAAAGACACAATCTGCACATATTCACACAAGAAGAAATGCACAAGCCGAATAGGACCATATCTATTAAATAATTGACTCAAAAATTAGTACCTTTCCAAAACAGAAAGCACCAGGCCCAGATGGGTTCATTGGTGAATACAGCAAACCTTTAAGGAAAAAATTTTTACCAATTCTCTACAATTGCTTTTGAAGGATAGAAGCAGAGGGAATACTTCCTCACTCATTCTATGAGGCCAGTACTACCCTAACATCAATACTGACAGAGAGATTACAAGAAAGGAAAACTACAGACCAATATCTTTCAAGAACATAGACACAAAAATCCTCAATAAAATATTAGCAAATCAAATTCGAAAAAGTATAAAAAGAATTATACACCACAACTAAGTGGGATTTATCTCAGGTATGCAAATCTGGTTCAACCTTTGAAAAATCAATAAATGTAATCCATCATATCAACAGATTAAACAGAAGAATTACATAATCATATCAAACATACAGAAAAAGCATCTGACAAAATCCAACACACCTATTCATGATGAAAACTCTCAGAAAAGTAGGAATAGAGGAGAATTTCATCAATTGATAAAGAACATCTGAAAAACCTTCAGCTAACATCATACTTGATGAAAAACTCAGATTTACCACTAATATCAGGAACGAACAAGGATGTTCCCTTTCACTCCTACTTTTAAGCACCATCCTGGAAGTTCTAGCTAAAGCAATAAGACAAGAAAAGAAATAAAAAGTATATATATTGGAAAGGAAGAAATAAAACTGTCTTTGTTGGATGATATGATTGTCTATGTAGAAAATCTGAAATTATTGACAAAAAAATTCCCAGCACTGACAAGCAATTATAGCAGGTTGTAAGATAAAAGGTTAATGTACAAAAGTCAATCACTTTCCAATATACCAGAAATGAACAAGTGCAATTTGAAATTAAAAACACTTTACCATTTACATTAGCACTACAAAATATTAAATATTTAGGTACATTTCTAAGAAAAGATGCACAAGATCTGTGTGAGGAAAACTATGACACTCTGATGAAATATATCAAAGAAGAATTAAATAAATGGAGAGATAGTCCATGTTCATGGGTAGGAAAAGTCAATATTGTCAAGATATTGGTTCTTCCCAACTTGATGTATAGATTCAATGCAATCCCAGTCAAAATCCCAGAAAATACTTTGAGGATATTTATTAAGTGATTCTAATGTTTATAGAGAGGCAAAAGCCTAGAATAGCTAACTCAATATTGAAGGAGAAGAACAAATTTGGAGGAATGACACCACTTGACTTAAAGACTTATAAAGCTACAATAATCAAGACTGTGTAGTGTTGTCAAAAGAACAGACAAATATATCAATAAAACAAAATAGAGAGCCAAGAAATAGACCCATATAAATATAGTCCACTGATATTTGACATAGGAGCAAAGGAAATACAATGGAACAAAGGTAGTCTTTTCAAGAAATAGTGCTGAAAAAACTAGACGTGCACATTTGAAAAAGTAAATCTAGACATGACCTTACACCTTTCACAAAAATTAACTCTAACTGGATCATACCCAAACGTGAAAAAAGCAAAATTATAAAACTCTTAGAAGACAACAAAGGAGAAAACCTAGATGACCTTGGGTATTGTTATGCCTTTTTAGATACAACATCAAAGTCATGATATACGAAAGAAAGAATTGATAAACTGCACTTCATTAAAATTAAAATCTTCTACTCTGCAAAAGACTGTATCAAGAGACAAGCCACAGACTGGGAGAAAATGTTTTCAAAACACATATCTGATAAAGAACCGCAATCCAAAAAATACAAAGACTATTAAAACTCAACAATAAGAAAACAACTACATTAAAAAAAATGGCCAAAACACCTGAACAGACACCTCACCAGCAAAAATATATAGATGGAAAATATGCACGTGAAAAGATGCTCAATATCACATATCATCAGGGAATTGCAAATTAAAATGAAATATTACTACACACCTATTAGAATGACCAAAGGCCAAAACACAGAGAGCACCAATGCTGGCAAGCACATAGAGTAATAGGAACTCTCATTCATTGCTGGAGAGAATGCCAAATGGTACAACCACTTTGGAAGTCATTTGCGCGGCGTCTTTCAAAATTTAACATACTCTTACCATACAATCCAGCAGTCATGCTCTTTGGTATTTACCCAAAGGAGTTGAAAACATGCTTACAGAAAAACCCACACCCAGATATTTACAACAGCTTTACTAATAATTGCCAAAACTGTATGCAATCAAGATGTCCTTCAGTAGATGAGTTAATAAAAAATCGTGATACATCCAGACAATGGAATATTATCCAGCACTGAAAAGAAATGAGCTATCAAGCCATGAAAAGTCATGAAGGCACACTAAATGCATATTACTAAGTGATAGAAGCCAATCTGAAAAGGCTACATACTGTATATATACTTTCAACTATATGACATTCTGGAAAAAGCAAAACTATGGAGACAGTAAAAAGATCAGTGGTTGCTAGGGGTGAGTGGGGAGGGAGGGATAAATAGGCAGAGAAGAGAGGATTTGTAGGGCAGTGAAACTATTCTGTAAATGGTGGGTACAAGTCATTATACATTTGTCAAAACTTATAGAATATACAACCAAGAATGAACCCTAATGTAAACTATAGACTTAGGATGACAATGTTGTCTCAATGGATTGTAATGGACCACTGTGTTCAGGAATTTGATAGTGCAAGAGGTTGTGTATGTATGGGAAAAGGAAATATTTGGGAACTCTGTACTTCCCACACAATTTTGCTGTGAATAAAACTGCTCAAAAAATAAAGCTTACTAATTAAAAAGAAGGCAAAGATTTGGATATTTTAACACAGAATTTCTTATATTTAGAATATGTAGGACCCAATAGAAATATGACCATGGGTTGAATTTCACCTGTAGGCATATTTCTTACTCCTAAGTATAGAGTGTTACATACTGTAGCAGAACTAAGAATAGATCTTATTCACTTCCACAGACTATTTCTGTTAGAAAATAAAGCACTTGTTTTAAGAGATGACCTGGTTTGGGACCTCACTGACTTTTGCAGTATTAATCACTTATTACTGCCTAAATCAATACATCCTATAATTTGTAGTATTGAAATATATATTCAAAGTGATCTCTTCAATCCCACTGATCTCTTCATTCTCCACAAGTGGTTGTGGAGATGGTAACAGAAAATATTTTCAAAAGAAAAATTGCATTTTTAAGCCTCAATTTTAGAAAAACTGAGATTTTAAGTAGACAAATTCATATTATATTTGCTGTGAACATTTTATGAATAAATAACATGAAAAGATAGCAAACATATCTATATATGTTAAAAATAAAACTATTTTACAATTCTCTATATATGTTTTATTTAAAGGTAAATAGATTAGTTATTTTATGCATGAGGTCTAACCCATGAGAGAATCACCTTGAAAATGTTCTACATATTCAGAAAGTCAATTCTCAAAAACCTGATGACATATTTAGCTAATTTTCCATTGAATTATTTTCTTACATCCTGATCTGATTCTCTTGGGTGTACTTGACCTTTACTAAGGGAAATATTAAAAACAGGTGGGAGATGGAAAGAGCAATGTTCAAATGAGTCACTCTGATGCATAATGGGAACATCGGTATAAATGGTGTTTTGAGTAAAATCCATTTAACCTTTTTTCATTGTTGCCACACAGATCCATCATCATGAATACTTTTTAAAAAAGTATTTCAATGAAAGGAATATCTGCTCCTCTCTTTTCTCTTTCTGTGAGTTAAATGGTTTCTTTGACATATGTCTGTAGCATTTTTACCCATGGTAAACATTTTGAGAATTGCAAAATCTCCAAACCATGGATAATGTATAAAATCATGGAAACGAAACTCATATATTTTAATTTTTACATTTACTTGATAACTAGATAAAAATAAATAAAAAGACATGTATAGACTTACATATAATTTGTGAAAGAAATTACCCTCTTTCTAGATAAGTTGGAAGCATAATTCCAATGAATGGTATTTTTTTGAAGAAAAAATAGTTTTCCACATTGATAGTGAAAACAAACATTCCAGTTCTATATTTATGCAGAAGAAAAACAACTATTTTTGGTTTCTCAGCTCAAGAACATTGAAGTAAACCTAAAAAGATGAACCAGTTCATCATGTTTATGTATTTACTATTATCTTCCTTTTGGGAAAACTAAGCCTCTTGCAAAAGATAGTTTGACTTTAATATAGTTGTGTTAGTTCTTGTTGCAATTAAAACTTTTTCTTCTATGCCATATTGCCTGAGAGGAAAAAGTAAACTATTTGGGAGAAGTATACAGTCTTTGTGGGGTCAGGCACTCCATCCATTTAGTCTCTGTTACAATACAAGCATACAGCACAGTACATGACATACAGCAGATGGTCAATAGTCATAGTTTTCTTGTCATATAACAGTAAGTTGCAATTACTGAAGTATAGTCCTTCCTATTGAACTTTTTTCTTTTTACTATGTTCTAAAAACTCAGCTCTTAGAAGACAAATATTAATAATTTTTAAAAATGGAGTCCATGGAAAGAGTATGGCTTCAGTATCAGCCACAGGTTCTAATTCTCCATTTACCACTTATCAGTTGTGATGCCTTGGGCAAGTTACATGACTTCATTTGACTTTTGTAAAAATAACTTTAAATAGATAATAACTGTATTATTTCCCATTGCCGCTGCAACCAATTACCACAAATTTGGTAGATTAAGACACAAATTTATTATCTTACAGTTCTGGAGGTCAGAAGTCAAAACCAAAGTGTTGGGAGGGTTCCTCCTAGAGACCCTAAGGGAGAATTCAATTCCTTGCTGTTCCAGGTTCTAGAGGCCACCCAAATTCCTTGGCTTACAGACACCTCCTCAAGTAGAGCACCTTCAAATCTCTGTCTCCTCTCCTTACTTTCTCCCTCCCTCTCTCCCTCTACTCCTGTCATCACATCTCTTTGTCTGACTCTCACTATCTTGTCCTCCTTTTCATAAATAACCTTGTGACTACATTTGTACCATCTGGATAGTCTCCCCATCACAAGATCCTTAACTTAATTCCATCTGCAAAGTCCTTTGTAAGGACTTTGATTAAAGTAATGTAATCACAGGTTCTAGGGATCGGGATATGGCTATCTTTAGGGGTGTATTATTCAGCCTACTACAATATCACTTTAAAAGGTTTTTAAGAGGATTAAAGAAGTTTGAAAATATGAAATTTGGTGTAATGGATTGGCCTTATATGGTACATTTTGTGTATATCTATATCTATCTATATACATCCTTTTTGTATCTATTTATTAAAGTTATCTCTAACCAACAAATTAAGTAATACTTCAACATTTCAATATATTGTACTATATTTTAACATTGCTCATTTATGAAAACATTGCTATAAATATGAATGCAATATTAATTTTAAAAAATTTTTGGAAGTTGACTTTTGGAAGATTGAAAGATATAATATTAACATTCTAAAATCAAGCAATGAAATGCTTAAATAGGCTTGGAGGCCTAATAGAAAAATTTATTGAAATCACCGGAGTATAAAATCTTGGCAGAGTGTCTAATTTTACACAATAATAGATTGCGCCTGAGTGTTACACCTCAGCCTACTCAGCCAGAAGTTGCAGTCTTATTGTGTCCATGTTGTGAAGCTTTACGCATTCCTTTTTTTCCCCTTTGGAAAGGCCTAAAATAACTAAATACAACATTTCATTCTTCACCATGACAATTTTCACATTTGCCATTTTTTATAATAAAGCAACCCCGAAATATATTCTTCTTAAGTAAATTTGTATACTCCAGTTAGTGATTTTGTTTAACTAGTTAGGCATCTGAGTTTATGTTCCATGGCAGAAGCTCCTACTGATGTCTATAAACCCTTTAACAAGTCACAATATTATATCTAGAAAAGCAGTGGAACAAATTGTAATTTTAATGAGTATTTAATACATGTGTTTGGCAGTTTGAGATCCTCTGAGAAAGTCATATTGAAGTTAACATGGAGGAAATCTTAGCGTCACACTTGAAAACAAGGCTGCAGTGCATATTTTCCATCTAAATAAACTTCTTCTTCATATACACGCCATGAAATCTAAATTCACAGAATAAATTTATGAAATTTAGTTCACTGCACTTTCTACAGTCTATGAATTGAACTGTAAAACATCAATTGATTCCACAGAGTGAGCCAAATCATAGCTGATAGAGTACAATGGTGAATATTTAGGATGGCAAAACCAACTGCTAAATACACACACGCACACACACACAGCATTTAACTTGGCATCAACCAGGTGACATAAAAATAGATATTGTACATTCAATAGATATGGTACCTTGTGTATAGTACACAATATATTCAGATATTTTATATTCAAGTACATATTGTCCATTGGTGAACAG